GGGGGGGGATGGGCACTGCTGGAATTGACTGATGCATAATAAGCAACCACTTGTGGGGTATGTTAACACGAGCTGTGTATACCCCCTTTTATTATGTCTTATCGATCAAAATTACATAGAATAATCAACAATGTTAAGCGCAAAATAACAAAAACTAAAAATACAACTGAACAATAACACGTAGTGTATAGTATAGATAGATAGATAACCTTTATTTTAAAACGATGAGTATAAAGTTTACAACAATCCGAACATAAGCTAGTATAATGTAAATACAAAACACGTCAAGCCAGTACTTGAAAATACTAATCGAATTTAGTCATTTGGGTATTTAATTTAGAGGGCGAAGAGGCGGTCGTGTGACTCGAATGAATACAAATGAAGACAACGCAATACCAACGCCCCACTAATGAAGCATTGTGACAAAGTGTCACGTAACACCCAAAAGGAGGTTACGTAACCCATGATAAATACATTTGCATGCACTCTGCGTGTGTGTGACGTGTTTGCAGATTTCCTTTGAAGGCCTCAGCTGTACATGTAATTTAGTACATGGGCCTTTTCCGTAGATTATACTTAGCACCGTGTGAATGAGATACGATTCACAGTTTCAATAACGAGAAACGAGATGTCAAGCCCTCAGAAATGTACACCTTAAATATTCGAGCCTTGCGAGACCTCTACACTGTAGGCTTTCATTCATTATTGAATCAACGTAATTAACGCGACTTCAAGGACAGACACGTTATGCTCAGTTATGACAATACTTTTTTATAACTTGAAATAGCAGAGCTTGAAAAACAAAAACAAAAGAGAAACTTCTTTTTCAAAGAGCGTTTCAAATGAATCAGACCAGAACATTATAGGGGCTCGGTCACAGCATTTAAGTTAATTTTAGCCACGTACTAAATTACCTTTAAATTGAAGGAAACAATAGTACAATAGTTTTCTAAGATAGAAAAACACCAAAGAGATAATAATAAACCATAAAGGAACGAGGATGGAGAAGATTAACACGAACTACAAGCGGCGAACTTGAAAAATTTAGGCTAATCTTTTCAAGATATGCAAACCGTGTCGTAACTCCTTTAAAATACGAGACTCGCGTTTTCAAAGTTGGCATAGATAATACAGTCCATTTGTATCCTTTCCACTGTTAGCCATCGGATCCTGTTTTCTCACTGGGTTTTATTTATTGCAATTCATGGCAGGTGAGAAATACAAAGATAAAATTAAAATGCTAGAGGGAAGAATAGATGGAGAAGATGGCTCCTGCCATACGTGTTGTTTTGTTTGTGCTTTTC